TCTAAACGTGCGACCCGCACGCTTCTACCTGAAATCACATGGTCTCACAGGAACGAGTTTCTAATACGGATTTTCGGGATTTCGTTCTTGCAGGCAAAGGCCAGATCTGTGAGGTCGGATGGGGCTGGAAGTTGGCGTTTAAAGCAGTGCCTTGTGTGTGAGAAGCCTGCACGTGGCTGCGAGACCGCAAGTTGTGTTGTTCCACAGTAGAAGAAAAGCAAGTAAGTAGTTGTGAGAATTATCTGATGCAAAACAAAGCCGGGTCGACTCAGTGAGATCATAGTCATTCCATCGTGATTCCACATTTAGGGGTTTGGCGGTTCTATCGATCTTTGTGCAATGTCGCAGCTGCACGATTGGCGCAGTCTCTGTCGCCACGAGATATCGGGCCGCATTGGGATAGTAAGTTAGTCTTGGAGTTGGTTGCAAATAGGGAAATTCTTATTGGCAGGTTGATTTCCTTCATTCCCAACCACGAGCCCAGCACCTGAAACAGCACTAATATGAACAGGTTGAAGCCGTAAATCTTGATCATTGTGTTGTGTCTGTAATGCTGGTTTGGGTTCCTATATCGAGGCATAGGTACAGTGCCTTGGTGCTGCGATCGAACGGGAACCCTACGTCAGCCGAAACATTGAACTTTAATTCAAAGCCTGAACCCTAGAGCCCAACACCCCAAAGCTGGAACGATCGCTCTCGGGAGTCCTCGACTTGGCTGTGTCAATGCACGATGCCGTGCGCACGAATGTTCCGTGGGGTCATGGTCAGTTACTTGAGTTGAGGCTCTAGGATGTGAGGGTTCTGTTTGAAGCGTTTTCAATAGCCTGAAGCCAAAGCCAGGATATCACAATTTGATGACGGCGACACAGGGTTTTTTTTGCTTCAGCTTTTATGGCAGGCAGGGTTTAGGAGTTGGGTAGGAGGCAGTTTGGGTTCATTGGCTGTGGCCCGTCCTCGGAACTGTGCTGCAGTGAATGGCCTTCACACTTCAGTCTAGCTGGGATGGCATCCTTTAGGCTTTTACTTAAGCCTTCATTTCCCAGCCCACGGACAGATCGGTAGGAATAAACCATTGCCGCATAATCTGAGACCCGAGAGTGTTTGGAGAAGAGTCTGATGCTACGTGGGACCCCCGCTGTAACATCCTCTTAGACTCTTGACCACACAAGCAAGAGCATTGCACGACACTGCATATTCCGTGACACTTCTGCAAAGAATGCGGAGGCGGAAGTAGGAGTCGGCAACCCGTGGTTTCAGGGCCCAAACACGATTGCAAGGCTTGGGCTCGTCGACTGTGCAGGCAAACCAAAGTCTACGCCCCAAGCCCCAAGCTCCTGTGATTCCAGATGTCTTCTCCTTCAAACTGTGCAGGCTCCTGAAAGCAGTGCATTTCATACTTTGCAAAATATCCGAGACGCACCGTGTGAGCCCCGAACCATACATATATGATACTTCGTCAAAGATTCTGCACTCCATATTCTAAAGATTTCATCGTCTTGGGCTGTCTGAGGTGACAATGAAGCCGGTGTGGAGTACGCAGACCAACGTGCCCTTTTCCTGGGGCTTTGCGTGCTTGCTAAGTACCGGCTCTATACGGGCAGAGCGGCAGTGGCAGTCCTCGCATACCATCTTTTCAATAATTTATTGTGAAGCAAAGCTACATTAGCATTTCGTTTGGCCGGCACATGTGCAGTTCTCGCCTGGCCTGCTGCAGACAAGGGGTGTTGCAAAAGGGGCTCGGAGGCGACTTGTTCATTTCATGTTGCAGCATGTGCAGCACCAGTACAAATCACAACATTGCTTGAAATTGGATCGCAGGGAGGGCAGGTGCACCGAGCTTTCCCGTTCTCCCTTTTCATCGAGGCTTTCTGAGCAGATGGGTAAGAAGGATTCGGGGAGGAAGCCGAGCAGCAAGCCTAGCAAAGGCGCTGCGAAGGTGAAGAAGGAATTGAAAGATGTCAAGTCTGTCAAGAAAAAAGCCCGTGAACGCAGCTCCTCTTCTGCTGCTTCCGAGAACAAGTCATCCACTTCGGACGACCACAGCAATCCGGAGCTTGAGCAAGCCAAGAAGCAGTTGCAGACTGTGGCCCTCTCCTTCGGTTTGTGCTCTACTGAGTTGAGATTTTAGGCTCAGTCAAGAAGCAGCCATGTCGGTGTCACGGTATGATGTGTGTTGATAAAAAGATGTTGTTTCACTTCCGTCAATTTCAGGAAGCCCAAGAATCTCGAGATCAACAAGAGGACTCAGACCCAGCTGAAGGACCTGAACTCGGGGCAACTGGCCACGACTTTGACAGGTCTTTGCCCTCAGCTGACGGCGGTGACTCTGATGCGCATCGGAGGGGACTTATTGCAAGTCTTGTGCTCAGACCGATCAGGTAAAACAGATCTGCGAAACTTCATGCGATGCTTTTGGATGTCATCAGGAAGTGTTGTTTTGCGGTTTTCTTGACATCAGGTTCGCAAATCCTTGACATCACAGATGAAATCTCAATCCGCGGGAGCCATTCAGAATCAGGACACAATGGAGCTGAAGCTGCAGTATTTGCGGAAGGAGCAATCTGCAGATCGCCTCTTCAAGGATAACCTGCTGAGCATTGCTGAGTGCTGTATCTCTTAAGCAAGAAGAACTAAGTGGGATAAGCGCCTGTACTGTCTGTTATGCTCCTCGCTCGCTGGGTTTTTTTTTGGTCTCATGCTCTCGCTCTTGCTCGCCCCTCCCATTCCCTCTTCCTCTCTGCCTCTCTCCCATTCGCTCTCCCTCTCCCTCTCCCTCTC